CAGATTTGGAACCAATTAAACAAAAAAGTTGTCCTTAATCATAATATTCTTCAAGTGCAATGTCCAACTTAACCTTCAGTGGAAGGTAAATAGTTTCTGACAGTTTTTTTGTTTTTTTTTCCCTAAATGACACTCCGACTACCAAAGAAAAAAGTAAAAAGCAAGGCTAAGCTGTACATGGTCTTTATTGATGTTTTCTGCAGATCTCAGATTGGAACAGAAAACACGAGCAATTTGAAAACCCAAAGACAGCTTTTTTTTTGTTTTGCTTTGTTTTTCTTAAATTTATTTTTATTTTTTTGTGTCCTAATGTTCAGGTTTCCTTCGGTCGCGACTTCGAGCAGCAGCTGAGTTTCTGTGTGGAAGCCAGAGCCACCTTTTGCAACCTGGAGCCGGTGCTGGTGCAGCTCATTCACGTGGGTGAAGTCTGTCCGCTCCCTTTATCGTCAACACGCACACAAACCAAAACCGTCTTTAGAAACTGTGTCTCCCTCATACCAGACTGTAAATCAGCTCGCCATGGAGACCAGGAGGGTGATGAGAGGGAGCCACTCCCGAAAGACGGCCGCTTTCGTCAGAGTCAGTCACACACACACACACACACACACACACACACACACACTGATCTCTCATTCTCATTCAAAGCTGGACCTCATTCATTTTTGGTTTTGTTTTTTTACCTATGTCTTCCAGGCGTGTGCCGCCTACAGTTTCATCACCATCCCGTCTCTCAGCAGCATCTTTAGCCGCCTGAACCTCTACCTGCTGTCCGGTCAGGTCGCCTTAGCCAACCAGTGTCTGTCCCAGGGTGAGCCACACTTCCATTTTAGCTTTTAAGTTCAGATAGTTTTTTTTTTTTCCTTTGTTGTGGCTTTCTGCACGCTCCTTTCCCAAACTCTAACGCTAACCTGCTCCCTCACTGAGTCGTTTATTTTTTTCTTGCAGCCGACGCTTTCCTCAAAGCGGCTGTCAGCCTTCTTCCCGAGGTTCCGCGTTCCATCAGCGTGGAGGGCAAACTGCGCTCCTCCGAGAGCTTTCTCTTGGATTTCCTCAACAACTTCCTGGCCACGCTCCTCGTCGTCCCGGTATCCCTTCTTGTTCCGTTTTTTTTGTTTTTTTTTAACGCGTTTCGGTTTAGCTTAGGTGTCGGCGTGCCGTGGATTAGACCTCTGCCCCCCCCGCGTGTTTGCAGGACCACCCGGAGCACGGGGTCCTCTACCTGGTCCGCGGGCTGCTCAACATAGTCCAGGATTACACCTGGGAGGACAACAGCGACGCAAAGGTGCGGGTGTACGTCGGCGCGCTGCCGCTGCTGGCCGCCATGAGCCAGGAGAGCTATCTGTACACCATCCCCAAAGGTAACAGCACGGCCACTTTCCCGTCACTTAAAAGTTGGTGACTTATCCAATTCCCAATTCTCCACATACACGGTTTCTTTTAAAATCCTTTTTTTTTTTTTTAAAACAAAGTGTGAATTCTGTCCCCTCACCCCAGTGGACTCTAATGAGACGCTGTATGGCGGCGACCCCAAGTTCCTGTCCGAGGTCAACAAGCTTTGCGAGACTCTGATTGGACAGATCCTGGACCATCTGAAGGCGCTCGCTCGGGACGAGGTCAGTGAGAGGGGCCACTGTGACTACTTTTAGTATTTAAAAAAAAAAATCCTTTTTGTCGTTGCATCTGTCTTTGTGTGACTTCAGCTGACAAAGCATGATTTAAGGTTTCCAAACAGATAGTCGGTTTTCATTCCGCCGGCCTCTTCCCCCCCCCCCCCCCCCCCTCCCACAGCAGAGCCTGCGCCGCCAGAGCGCGCTGGCCTTCTCCCTGTTCGGCGTCCTGCTGGCCCACGGCGACCTGCGCAACAACAAGCTGAGTCAGCTGGCCATCAACCTGTGGAACCTCAGCCACAAACACGGACACTGCGAGACGCGCCTCTCGGTGAGTTTTTCCCGCCTCACGCCTCCTCCCCCTCAAGGGCTTTGACCGCAGACCTTGACCACTCTCGTCCCCCCTTTAGGTTCGGACCCTGGAGTCCGTCAAGCATCAGGCGCAGCTGCCCGACATGGCTCACCTGTCGGAGACGGTCCAGAGGCTGGCGCTCCAGTCCCGCACCTGAAGGCCGGTTCCAGAAGGAAATCCCTTAAAGTAATTATTGTTGTAAATAAAAGCCAAAAGAGAGCGGCAGCCTGAAAGCTTTTTTATTTTTTTAAATGGGGGTTTGAACACATGACGGAGCAAACCGAGTCAGAAAAATGAGAGAGGAGGCCGGATGATGTTCTCAATCATTTCAGTTGTAGTTTATTTCATGAATTCGGAAACTATTGAAAAAGGACAAAACACTCCGCTTTAGTCCTGAAAGGAAAACAATGCAAAACAAACCACAGCGGTGCCCGTTTCCTGGACAAGTTCTGATTTAAAACAGAGCAACAAAAAAAGACTTATTTCACAGCGCTGTGCGGGGTGTCTGAACCCTCCGATCAACACAACGGGCCCACCTCTTTAGAAAGTCGGCGCTCGAATTTCCCATTTTTTTTCTGAAGACCACGGTCACATCAGCCAGAGCACACGCTGCCGGCTGCACAATGGTGGGAGTTTTTAATAAATTATTCCAACGGCTAATCGTCAACAGTTGCTTTTCTTGATTAAAAAAATCGTTTTTTGTTAATCTGCTAAATTATTTCACAAACTGGCCTCTTTTTTTCTTTGTCCGTATGACTGTTGGCCGTTTGGAGCTCCCACAGGCCGACGGAAGCCCCTCTCGGCTCTGCACGTGTTCCCCGTCCTCCCCCCTTTACTGAAAGCCCCCCACTGCGCTTCTCTGGAAATCAAAACGGGGAAAATCGAACAGCTGGTGTGCCACCCGTGACTTTTTCTCTCGGAGGATTTGAAGCTTGAAGCCTAAAAACGACAAACAAAATAAATAAAAACAGATGACACGCTGACACAGGGCCTTGGCTATAAGTACATTTTAATTTACTACTGACAGAAGAGACTAGTAACGGAATAAGTTGTTGAACGCCTCCCACCCCCTCCCTTTGCCCCCCCCCCCTTCCTCCCCAGGCAGCTACATGGTGGCTGAGATGGAGCTCTGCGAGGCCGTGTGGTCACTGACATGGTCGGGTGGCTGTCGTGGGACGTCTAAAAGAAAAAAAAAAAAACCCTTTCTGAAACTTCAGCCAGAGCCTTTATGCAGGTTTTCACCAGAAGAGGACAGTTTGTGGGCTTCCCGTTTAAAAAACCATACACCTGGGGAAGGAGAGCACCTGGAGAGCAGGAGTCCCGAATGAATGACGTCGACAAAAACGAAAAAAAAAAAAAAGATGGTTAAGTCAAAAGCAAAGACTGGTTCCGTGTGGGGAGAGCCGGTCCGGGCCGTGCTGACGGGGGCGTTTACGGTGGAATGATTCTCGTTCTGATTTGGTGGGAGCTTTGTCAAACGGCACGCCTCTGAAAAAATGCAAACCGGCGCCTCCCTCTGACCTCCGCCGTGGAGGAGGGAGGCGGGCGAGTGGTCTTCCTCTCTCCTTTTTTTAATTTTTATTATTTTGTCTTTGTTCGTCGTCCGTACGCTGGACGGCCGGCTCAGTCCAGTTCGATGGGGCTGCTGTCCTGGGCCTCTTCGGCCCCGTCGTCCTCCTCCCCGGATCCCATCAGGCTGTTCAGCAGGTTTCCTGCCGGATAAACGCACCCATCAGGAAAGCCTTCCCGATCGCATCACAGCAAGCTTTGGGCCGGCTCGACATTCTTTATACATCAGCACATTCCAGTCCAGCTTTGGATGTTTAAATCCAAACCAGGTTATCCCTAACATTTTCTTTATTTGATGTAGTTAAAGAAATAGAAACTAATTATGTGTCTATGTGAAAGGCTCCTGGTAACGAAAACTCCTAAAGCGTCATTTCAAACTCTTTTGGCCAAATTGTATCTCTCTTTTTCTTTCTTTTTTTAAGAAAGCCTGAATATTTGCTGAATATGAAGGAGTGAGTGTTAGCTCACGGCTTTCTCACAGTGCTGAAACATCACAGACAAAAAAAAACAGCTACAAAAAAAAAAAACTGAAGCTTTTTGTTGGTGCATTATTTGGTTTCATGGGTTACTCTCCGGGATTACAGCTGCTGAACACACTCACCGAGCAGGCCGCCGTACGATGGGGACTGTTTGGGTGGAACGCCGAAGAAAACCTGTCCTATTCTGTCCAGATACTGAGAAGCCAGAAGAAGATGGGTACAGATCAGAGCAAAGTCATTTATACTAAATTGTTCATTTTATAAACAACAAATTATGTTCAGCTAAAACCCACCTCATTATACATGGGATCCCTCTTCAGGGAAGGTTGATATTGCTCACATAACACTGTGAAAACTGTTAATTTACCCCTGTAAACAACAACAAAGTTAGTCATTAGTTTAGGCCAAGTAAACAGTATTTAGGGAGAGTCACGCTTCAGGTTTGGTCCTCACCCGTCCACTGCCAGCAGCAGAAACCAGATAAAGTTTAGGAGAGGCTGGACAAAGGGGGGGCCCTTCTCTATGGATGGGTGTTTCTCTGTGTATGTGCTGAACACCACGGAAGCGCTGTTTTTGTTCTTTAAGCAGAGGAACCTGGAGGTTTCGTGAGTCGATAGTGGGGGGGGTGGGGGACACAAACAGAGAGGAGATATCTTTTTAAAGTGTGGGTTACGTGAACTGGAGCAAACAGCTGTCAGGACCTCACAGGCCAATCGGCCTCCAGCTGTTCACAGCGGGACACTGTCAACATCTGGTATCTCTGGTCCACAGAGTGGGCGTGGCCCGCTTACTGTAGGACGGCCTGCGCCACAAACATGTCCACCTCGCTGCGGAAGCCTCGGGACGCCGAATACTCCACCAGCATCTGTGCGCAGCCCTCCCCGTCGGACGAATGCAGGAAGTGATAACGAGACTCGCTGTAGTTTTGCTCTGGAAGAATTCAAAACAAACTGGTAAGACCTTGCTTTGGCCAAAATGCCACATGCCCAACGGCAGAGGAGGACACGAGCCACCAGAATCAGTGTGGACAACAAAACGCACATTCAGTCGCACATTAAGGGGCGTCTATGGAAAACATAATGGACAGTTCAAAGATTTCAGAGTGTGAAAGCACTTTACGACACAAACCTTTGGTTAGAATAAAGTTTAGAGCCTAACATGGATGAGAGAAAATTTAAATAAAAAAAAAGGCCTGCAGGAATGTTAAAAAACAGAGCACACCTTCTGACTTGTCATAGCAGGAAAAGCTATAACTCACTGAACTAAGAACAACTGCCTTCCAAATATGTGACAGAAAAAAAGAGGAGTTTCTGCATTGCTGCAGCTTGTTTTGGTTTTATCATCCCCGTCACACTGGGATAAAACGGGTTATGGTCTGCTCTCAAAGAGCCAAGCGGCGGGCGGCTACCTTTCCATAAGGTGACGGCCAGCAGCTGGTGGAACTTTGGGTGGCCCAACTTGCTGGATCCTCCCGTGGACCATTTCAGGGCTCTTGACACAAAAGCTGCTCTCTCTGGAGAGTTCGGGTCCATGAGGCTGAACAGCTTGGCCAAGCTTTCTGCTCCACAAACCATACACACAAACACACAGTCGCAGTCAACAAACATGAGTACTGGAAACGGAAAAGTTCATGTGTAGCTGTGCTTTTCAGGGACAGGCTTTCCCAAGACTACAAGCAAATGCGGACAGCAGATTTTACTGGTCAAGACTGTTTATGTGAGCAGCCAATTAATAAACGCAAAAGGATGGCTGCTTTCAGAATCCTGATCTATGACACACTTAATATCTTACATCCAGGTTATAGTAAACATTTTAGAGATGCAAAGCAAAACCAATTTCCCTTTAGAAGTTAAATGAACACAATGCAAAATGTGTAACATGATACAAAAGTCAGTAAGGGGAATTAGCAGTCACCAACCTAAGATTTCGTCTTCTACTTTTGTGTCAGACTTCTCCAAAACCTCCAGCACCAGCATGGACAGATCTGCAGCACTATTTTGCTACAAACAACAACAACAAACAAACAAATACACAAACGTGTGGAAATAAACCAAAAAGTTTGTTCCCCTCCACATGTTTTTTTTAAATTGTGCATAAGGACAAAGTCAGACTATCAAAAATGACTAAATAATACCAATATTTCAGGATGTGATGCAGAAGTGTCTCTCTCAAAACACAGCTTGTGTGTAAGTCTTTGTAAAAAAGAAATCCAATATCAAATCATACCTGGTTATAGCTGAAAAAGAGTAAAGCCCCATTGTACATCAGCTCTCTGGCCTCGGCATGTTTTGCCTGTGACATGTACCTGATGGAAGACAGCAGTTAGTGTCCCACAGAGCACAACGCCTCACGTTTTTACGCTTACAAGATTGTAAGAAGACTTCAGGAGGAAGGCTGACTGACATTATGACACTTTATGTAAAGCCATAAATAGCATCTACATGTATCTTGGTTAAAACCAATAACTTAATAGAGAAACACATATACATAGACAAAAAAAGATATGAGGCAGATTAAAAGAAAGACATAAAATAAGCATTTGTATAAGAAAAGAGCTTTCCTTTAACTAAATTTGAAGCTAAACCTGTAAAACCGATTAGTTTAAGTTTATATTTTGAAACGTTAGGAAACTGTCCCCAACTAAAATAAACTCAAACATATTTGTAAGTCTGAAATGTGATATATGAACTGACAAATGGCGAACAGACGACGGACAGCTGTGTATGTAGATAAAACGACTTAGTACACAGAAAAACATGTTTAGGCGTCATACTGAAGCTCACAGTGCGATAAAGCATAAAGAATGTGGCTATGACGCTACTAGCTAAAACAGCTGCCCAACCTCAACAAATAAGTTGAAGTATTAGCGGCTACAACCCATACGTATGATAGTCCGTATATTTTATTCATTTGAAGGGAAAGCAACATTCTACCAACAGTCAAACAAGCTCTCGTCCCCTTTCATTAGTTGCTTAGCTAGCAGGACTCCGCTATCGATAGCTTGCCATGGGTGGTGCTAAAAAAAATGAAGCTAGCCCGAAGCCGTAGTTAGCCGTCCCGTTCGAGATGGAAACGACGGCTGTCCAAACAAACAGACGGAGCGCCGTGAGTGGGTGGGCTCACGGTGAAATCCCACCAATCACATCCGGGCGGCCGTTAAAGCAAGGTTGACAGCAGAAAGATCTGGAATAGGCCGGCGCCGAAGCTAACCGACTTCTTCCAACTGCGCCTGCCGACGAGCACAGCGCCGTCTCTTACCTAAAAAATAAAGTCCTATACATCTGGTGTGCTTCGTAGTAGTCGCCTTTTTCTACGCTGGCTCGCAGTTTCCCTTCGACCCTCTGGACGCCGCCGCGGTTCCTGACACTGGAGCACCTCAGAGACTCCGGCTCCGACATGGTTGCCCCTTTGCAGCAGCGCTCTGCGAGTGTTGACAGAGCGAACCAGGTGCTCCGTCGAAATCTGCTCCCCGCCCCAGCTCTCACGCCTCCAGAGCGGAAGCGCGCTCGTCGTAGCGTCGTTCCGTACGTACTGCGCTCGTACCACCCAGTAACTACGGCAAGTACGATGGCCCAAATGTTTTTCTTTTTTCTTTTACCTTGTCCTGTTTATTTTGTTTATTTATTTGGATCCCCATTAGCTGTCAGTAATTTGACAGCTACTTTCCCTGGGGTCCTCATGGCACAAAACTGTTACTAAAAAAAATAATTTACTAGCCGAAAGCTTCCTGAAAACGCAGTGAATTGTTCTGTCTTCATTTTTAGAGTCTAGAGAAATTTATTTTGACAGTAACAGACAATGAATCGTGAACGTTGCCATTTTTGGGGGGTCAAATTATTTTAAAATGTTCTATTCGAATGAAGGCTAAAGTTTAATAATTGCAGAGCAATCTGCAATTTCACAAGACCATGGTAAAGTGAGTAAAAGTTACAGAATAATTTCAATTATCCAATATTAAAAACAATTCTGACTGCTATCACAAAAGCTGATGTTAAAGGAGTTATTTCCAGACTCTACGAAGGCTTTCAAAAGGAAAATTCACAATCTCCTGCTTCTATTGGAATTAAAATGGAAAAAGAAAGCAGCATTTCGCTGGCTATGGATGAATGGTTAAACATTTGCGTATCCCAGTTGACATTTACTAACTCTCTGTCAAGGTGAGTTTAATTGGAAACGCATGATTCGGTTTTTCATAACCCCAAAGCAAAAGGCACATCGTGACCCAAGTGCTGCTCCTTGTTGGGGGCTATGTGGTACTCAGGGAGCGGGCCATTGGCGAGTTTTTTGGGCATGTCCAAAACTAAAACCTTTTGGGGAGGAAATCCAATTTATATTTAGTATTAAAATGCCTTTGCAAATTTTGTCTCTGTTTTGTGGGACCTGTGATTTCCTGACCAGATAGGTGGATAAATACTTATTGGCTATTTTTTCCCTAACTTGCAAAAAAGCACTTACAGATGATGGTTACTTCCAGAGTCTCCTACAGTTTCTGACAGATAGATATATCGTAAATATGATGTATACAATGGTAGCAATCTCCTTTTGTATCTGATAAGAAATATCTTTATTAGTCTTTTGGGAAAATGGGTAAGTTTGGTAAAGTCTGTGATTTTGTAGATATTTTGTAGATATGGGTATTCATCTCTTGGTTTGTCCCTTTTGTGTGATTGACATATCAGTTTTTTGTTTTTGTTTGTTTGTTTGTTTGTTTGTTTTTGTCCCCCTCCTCTTCCATTGGGTCCCAAATAATATACATATACTTATGCACCCCCCTTTCTCCACCCACTTGTGGGGATGTTTTGTTTATCTTCCGAATCTCCCATACTTTTCCTTGTTTGTATAAATCTTGTTCATGTAACAAAACAAAAATACAGCATTTAATCTGAGCATTTTTCATCTGGACATTTTGTAACGCTGTTTTTCTGACTAACAAATAAAGAATGACCAACAACAACAAAAAAGTGGGCGGGTGGGTGCGTTATTTTGAACCCTCTCACTTTCCGTAGTAGCTCGTGGAAAGGGCGGGGCCGCAGAATGACAGGATTTGCACTGGGTGACTGACCTGGACGTGACACCTCCAAGCTTTTGACTAAATTGATCCTCGTCAGACGCCGTAGCCGGTACGTCTCAGATAGGTGGGTGGGAGGTTGAGGGAAGATGGACTTAGTTTATTCATATTTGTGAGGATTGAAGCATTCCGAAGGTTACATGGCCAGAATAAGGAGAAAATAGCAGACATATAAACGAGGGATAGAAACGGGGAAGTTGTTCAAATTTAGGTTATTCCATTTGTTCCGGTGTTTTTCAGTTAGATCTGCCTTTGACAGGTCTACAGATGAACCTCCTTTTCAACTTTTGAACAATAACGTCTCATAGAAAAGTCACAGCATTTCTCCTCACTTTAAAATAGCAACCTTCGTGAAATGTTTTGCTTTAAGATGGAGAAAGTGAACTTCAATAATGGTAAAATTGTGGGGACCACCTCACTATTAAAATCTCCCTTTTTCGTGGTTACAGGAAAAACTGCAAATGACTATCAGATAATTCCACCAGAAACAAATAAATATCCTAAAGCACTTAAGCAGAGAGCAAACTCTCTCGATGAAGAAATGTAATATTATTATGCAGTCAAAAATCTTAAACTATATACAGCCTCAAAAAAAGCTTGTCACAGGTCACTTTATACGATGCACTCAGGCCCCTTCAAAGTCTGATAACTTACTTTTTTCTTGTAATTGTTCTCCTGTAATTGTCTTGTTTTTTATGGTGCAAATTGGAAACATTTTGCACCATAAAAAACATTTTTATCAGAATATTTAAGAAATATTAAAATCAAAATACCTGTGAGCCAGGTAAAAACACCAAAGTATTGCCTTTGACTGAAACTGTACAACTCCATCAATTCTGACGTAAACAGAACTCACAGACAAAAACATTCGCTATGGAAGCAAGTATTTTCATCTATGGATGACCGATCTTTCCATCTAATCGAAGGATGTTTTTATTCAGTACCACTTAAACTAAATGTCTCCATGCATGAGAAGAGAACACAAATATCTTATCCAAATATGTTGATCCCCGTTCCACAAAAATCCGTCACCTGAATGGCAACATTTATATCTTTAAAACCTGTATATACTTTCCAGAACTAACATTGCTCTTCCTGGTTTGTTTGCCAGTTATATAGCAAGTGAATGCACCCCATACTGTCAAAAACCGGTTGGTACTGTAGCCGTTTCAGCTTTTCTTGTCAGGAGTCGCTGCATTGCACCAGTCGTGGCTCTCGTGGAAGATTTGTCAGGAGTTTTTACCCCTGTTGTCCACACTGACGCAACTCTTACATTTATTATTATTTATCAGGTCTGGGGGCAGGCAGAAATAGGGCACCGAACACCGTTCCCCATTGTAGTCTTCACTGGAGGCAACTGGGAGTTTGATGTCTGGCCTAAAAACACCTCAACAGGTAGCCTGGGATCAAACCACTAACGTGTCAATTGGGCTCTGGCCCCCTCACCAGAAGAGTTTTCCACCTTTAGATGATTATCTTTAACATTAGTTTGTGAAGGGCACAGTCATCCGCATTTAAAGACGGCAATACCTGGAGGTGTTTCTGTTCCTGACAGTCTGACAACTCAGAGTATTGTAAGTGCTGTCAAAAAGGGCTAGCTATGTTAAAAATAAAATATACTGGGATCAGTATGAGGCGTCTTTAGTTACACTGTAACGCAAAGAGATACAGGAAGTCATTCCTTCCAGCAGCAATAACAACATATGATAAAAGCTTAGAATATTTTTCCTTAATTAATCAATTATTTGAATTATTATCATCAACTGATCCTCTTAATTTCTTAATTCTTATATCTGCTATACTTGTTTGGATTAATTTCACACAGAATTTCTTTAATGCACAAACTTGGTACTTTAATATCGCAAAAGAACAACAACAATCAAACGTGATCAACACACAAGGAAGAAACCACAGTGAATGATTCAGGTGCATCAGATTGAATGTGTTGCTCACTTAATTAAGATACGTGGCAATACACAATTGCAATAAATTAAATAAATGAAGATTAATATGAATGTGACTTTGCCATTTTGTTTTATTTTTTAGTGAAATTTCACAGTTCCCATAAAAAGTGAGAGATGCTGCCATACCATGATGCCTTTCTTACGGCATGACATTGCATTTATCAACTTCATTATTGTAAAATCGTATTCTAGAAGTGTAAAACGTAATTTCATAAAACACTCCATCTTTAATATAAAAGCATAACATGAAAACAACAAACTTAAAATCAAGGTTTTGTGAAGCACTACAGTCCTCCTGCAGTACACCAGCTTTGACACTAGAGGGAGACAGACGCCATGTTGACTAATGTTGCCTTAGTTTTTAGAACTGCAAACACTTCACTCATCATCTTTAGTATTGTTTATATGCAAATGGTTCTTTCTGATATTTGCAGCTATTTTTCCTCTCGTCACAGCAGAGCTGTAGTCAACCCCTTGCGAAAAATGTTGTGAAGGAAGTGGGTCTTTGCGTCCCACGCAGAGGAGGGTTTTCCGGTGAAAGTTTCCTTTGTGATTCGGAAGTGGGGATGCGATGCCTAAACCGTTCATCCACAGACACAACAACAAACAAGAGGCAAACATGACAAGTGAGCATGGATATATTCGTTTAGTGGGCTGAGGTGGAGCTGTAGTCGCTGGGAAGTGAGAGGCAGGCGCGACGTTGACATGGATAACGTCGCTCAGCATCTAGCTAGTCGGTTAGCGGTGATGTCTCACTGCCATGCTAATGCTAACAGACGCTAGCTAAGTTAGGGTGTCTGTCTGCACTCAGCAGGGAAGCTTGAGTGGAGCTCAGAAACAGCCGCTGTCGGCGTTGAGCTTAGAAGTGTGGAAACTGCTTGTATTTCTTGTACAACGTGTTGTTTTTATTGTGGCTGCCTAAAATAGCCGTCGCACTTTAGCGCCTGGTAGGAATGTTTTAGGTGAACTCCCACCCAGACATGCTAACAGTAGCCTAGCATGCGAGTCTGTTTTGGACTGTGACAGTTGTCATTTGCGCAGAGAGGCCTCTTGAAACGTGGATTCCCGTCTCCCATACCGTCAGCTGTCACGGTTCTTTTTTTAAACCGACTAGACAACGGGTTTATTTTATTCCCACATGCCACGCGTGTTATTATTATGATACCGCAGCTTAACGCCGTCGCCTTTGGTGTGGCACCAGAACGGTAGCGGAATGAAATGAAACTGCCGGGTGAATGGGATCACGTCTATCTTCTGACGCCTGACGAAAGCTTTTCCCTGTTGTTCTCCCACGACAGAGATGCCCGAAACCCTTTCCCAGCTGAAATGGTGAGGACGCCCCGACGTTTTATGACCCAGGTAAGCAGCACTCTGCCCCCCCCGTTTGTTTGTTTTTAGGTCTGGTGGGATCCCCATCCGGTTTTCTTGGGACTCAGATTGGAAGAAAAACTGCTGACAAAGGCATCTGTGCCATTGTCATTTGTAATGCATTTTGCTTGAGTCTGGTGTGGAGCTGTTGAGAAAAGTGTGGACATCTCTGTTCAGTGTTTTTTTGCACAGGAGCCATCTGTTGGGCCGGCAGGGATGAGGTAACTGATGCAGCAGTGAGCATCAGTTTAAAAAGGGAGCCAGCCTCTGTGAATGCAGAGCCTGTGACGTGTGCCAGATCAGAGCGATTAAAAGCTGCAGCAAAACAAAAACCACGGATACTTTCTCCCACCTCGCTGACAAGAGAGATGCATTCTGTTCCCCAAGCAGAATGCATCTCAATCTTTACACACATTGTTTTGAAGATGGCGAGACAGTATTTATCTCGCCGCCTCATCGCGGCCGCTCTCACGGTTGCGCTCGGCCGTAATTTCACCGTCATGGTATTTCTGTACCGCTCGCAGCTCGTCTTGTTTTGTTTGGTACTTTTACTTGCTCCATTTAAATGCCCCTCGCTTTTTTTTTTTTCCCCCGCTCTGCTTCGGAGCAAAGCCGGCGTGCATGGTTCACAAACCCTCCGTTAAAGACAGGTAGAAGCTCTCCTCAGCAGAAGGTGAGTTAGATTAAACTCAAGAGGATTGGCCGGCTGGTGGGTTGATGCAGCCACAGGGGCATCAGACAGCTTGAGGGATAATCAGGGTAGTTTATAGATGCGTTCGCTGTCATCTTCTTTTTTTTTGTTTTTTTTTTCTTCTGGCAGTCACGATATAATATCGATATGAAATAGTAATAAGTAATTGGGCAATACATCTCACATGCTATGATAAAAAAATGAGGCAAACCGCTTGCATGATGTTTCTCCTTCAGCCTTTTTTTAATCAGGTTAATATTTCCTGTCGTACTGGATATCTGGTGGTTTGTTTTACCTATCTGTTTTGTTTAAAAGTGCACATAACAAGCAGTGTTTATTCTTTGAAACAAAAAGAAAAAAGGTTAAACATCTTTCTTACTGATAGAGGATCTAGAGAAATTAAATGAGTCAGAGAAGTAAGAGAAATCAAATGTAACTTATGTGTTTTTCAGTGAAAGCCACCCCTACTTTGTCATCACATATTATCTATGACCGTACTTAAAGGTTATTAAATGTGTTGTCACCTTTTATAACGCTCCTTTACCAGTTTTTCTCAGGACAAAAATGTATGAGAATTCTCGCCAAGGCCGTAAACAAGTTAAAACGAGAAGTCTATAAATGGCCTTTCTAAAACAGCTGCTACAGCAACAGTTGTAAAAGCTAAAACATGCAAATGCTCCCCCGATGGCAGATTTAATCTCAAGCCTCCTGCCACGCACTCTTTCTTTTTCCACACTCATTTTGTGGGAGACGGAACACGAGAGGGGTTTCTTAGGACCCAGCTTTTTGACTTGATGCTTGTAAAAGTTACCCACGAACCACTTGTTCCTTTGTGTTGTGAATTTGCAAAAAATGTCTCCTATTCATCTAAAGACAGTCTGATGTTGTGATCTATATTAATTAGCTCAACAGAAGTATAAGCAAAAGATGGCAGAGAAGTTTGATTTTGAATTTCTCTGAATGCCATGCACACTTTATTCACATTTTCCCCTCTGAGAACTGACCCCATGGATAAAAAATACCCAACAAAACAAAGTGATGTGAAGAGTTAGTTGGAATGCTTTTGAGCCATTTAGAAAGCTGTTTTTCCACAAAGGTGCTATTCATGTGAAATAACATCAGATTTACACAGTCTTTTGGGTTTTTTTTGCATCACAAACAATACATTTTGTTCATGTAGGACCACTAGTTTAATGTGAATGTTTGGGCTCCACACACACACACATTTAGTATATGAGTACAATTACATATAAACACATTCATATATAATAAATATACATTTTTTTTAGGTCTCTCCGTCACCATGGCAACACTAGACTCACACAAAGGGGAGGAGCCAAATCCCGGCGCGATGGAAGTTGTTGCCGGGGCGCCGGGCTCGGCCCCGAGCCCCCAGAGCGAGGCAGTGACCAATGAGCTGCAGGAGCTGACGCTTCAGCCCGCGTCCAATCTGCTGCCTCTACAGGAGCGCAAGAACGGTGAGGCCACGTGACCTTAACGCCAAGCGGCGCTTTCATTTATTTGTTGTTTTGGTTTTGGTTTGTTGGGGGAGGTTGGAAGATAGACGCCATGGCGGTTTTTCTAAAAATTGTTGTCTCTTATCGGGAGGCAAACTCGTGTGTGTGTTGACGTTCACGTCCCATTGAGCCCCGCGCCAGAATACGTTGTCAGTGAAATGTCAAAGGCACTCTTGGTTTATTTCTAAGCTGCTAACTTCCTGCTGAGGCGTAAACACCTTCCAAATGAGGTCATTTGCATGTTTTGGGCGCAAAGCTGTGCGTGACTTTAACACACCTTTCTGTGCTTGAGTGGGGGGGGTCTTTTCCGCTCCTGCTTTTCCTTTATAGGTGACCTCCTTGCCACTTGGATTTTAAATTTAAATAGAAAAAAGTTTGCTCTTACGCATAAAAAAAGTCCCGATTGCTTCAGGTGGCCTGACTTTTTTTTGTTTTGTTTCTTTTGGAATTTTCTCGGATGTGTCAAAGTTTATTGATGAAAATTAAACAAATGATCGTCCCCCCGATACGATGTGATGTCCCAGGTTTTCCAGAGGTGAAAGTTAATTGTGTATAAGTCCTTAGAACTCCCCTCACGTGGCTGCCTGCTGTACTTTTCATTCAGTCTTAAAACATTTTCTGTTTGGATTGTTTTGGCTTAGTACAACTACCTCTTCTACTTAATTGCAACATCTTAGCAACAGTCAACACTCTTTTTAAAAAAAGGAAATGCGTATTTTGGGTTAGAATTGGATGTGTCTTGTTTTCCCAAATTACCCTTCTGGCTTCTGTTCCCACTTTCTCGCTCAGTTTACAGGAATGAGTTCACACATGTATTGGTTACTTACCTGCCACAGAAGTCAATTAATTCCCTCGAGCTAAAAGAAAAAAAAAAGTGCTTTAGGGAGTGTATTGACTGGAAAGTAAGGAGAAAAAAAACATTCCAAATGTCCACCACGCCTGTGCATTGGTCAGTAGAGGAAATGCCTCGCCTTAGAGGGCTTCTGAATGCAGGAGAGACGAAAAGAAATGTAAGTTCTGAGATGGAACTGTGCGTACCAAGAATTACGAGTGCTCTGAAGTCCTCAGAGAAAAGGAGTGAAGAGGCTTCTGGAGCTAACTGTCCTGCTCCCCTGCACAGAGCTCCTGCTGGCGTAGATTACAGAGTGGCTCGTTTTAAGTCTGGAGTCAGCGTAGATGGTGGAAAAATTTGTTCTTTTCTCTGTTTCTCTTCTCCTAAATTTCTCAATCCAACCCAGCATTAATCAACAGTACTGTCCTAAAATGTTAAATGTGAAGAAACTGGGTTAAACCAATCAGTTGGTTCAGTTGATACATAATTTATTAATTATATCATCACCTTTATATATAGATCTGATCCCACTTCTGGGAAAGTTGATAGAATGTAGTTCTATCGTAGGGGAAAGGTAACGGAATCCCCCCCCCCCCCCCAGTGCCTGTATAGTTATTGTATTATTTCTATATATTTTAGGGCTCTGTAAAGGCTCCCATCAGCCAATCGAGTGCCCTGGCTGATCTAAAATGGGAAAACTATCTCAAGCAGCCTTTGTTTTCCATATGCGCGAGTCTGTTGTACCCTATCTGTTGTACCCTACGTCTTTTATTTTGGCTTATTATTATTTTGATATGTTTTAGTCATGCTTATTTTACAGTAAATCTAGTAAAAATAATAGATATAAAAACATACGGGTGTGTACATACTTTGTACCGGGAAATCCCACAACACAAAATTAGATGTTTACAATTCAGTGAGGCGGCATTGGCACCTTAACAAAACCTCTGAAGTTCTCTGCCACCAATAATCCCAGACAGCCGTTTAGATAGGCAGAGATATCAGCGGGTCACTCAGATCAGGGGTGGTGTAAATGATACTAAAAAGTCCATGTAAACAATAAAACAATCGGCCATTGTTCCCTGATGGGCGTGTTGTGGAGGTACAGTCGGTTGGCAACCACATTGATTCGTCTCGAGACAATGATAAGGCACAAGGCAGGAGCAGTCAATGATTTACCACCTGGAGAGGCAGTCACCATCGGCTGTCAACAAAGCTCCATTTGTAAAAGAAATGAAAAATAACAAAGGGCTTGCAGACGTGGTAAAAAAAAAAAGATGACATCAGGTAAACAGTAAGTCAGGGGATGTTTACATTCTTTCAAAAAAAGAAACGCGGAAGAATGGCCGCGTGACGACGGGTCACAAGACAGCGTAGGTCTGCTGGCAGACCAACACAAAGACGCTCTCTTTTTCAACGGCCCCGGGGCCACCACTCCCAGCCTTAAACACCCTCCGCTCCCGTCCGCCTGTTCCTCTCGCCCGACCCGGCCGGTCAGAAGCAGACATGTCCACACAGGCGCGCCTGCAGAGAGGCCCGCCACGTGTGGCGGCATGCGGACCTGCACACGCATACTTTAGGCCAGCGAAAAACACAACAGAGCGCCCGCATAGTAAGGCTTTATCTCCGACACCCGCTTACGCAACGTGTTTATCAAGCCGTGTTCCTCCCTCTGTTATGGGCCAGATTCATGCTCCATAACAGAGGGAGGAACAAACGCACTTCCTCATGCGTGTGCGTGTTTAAAGAAAAGAAGTGGCATGTCTTCCGGGATGAGAATCAGAGACAGATGTTCAGAGATGTCAGAAGGAGTTTGCATGAGTGCGTGTGTGTTTTTGGTGTGTGTTTAAAAGAGAGAGGGGCAGCCGATGCAAACAGACTGCTCTTTAAAGCCATTTACATTTCCTGTCCTCCCAGTTATTAACGCGCCTGTTAAGTGTTGTGTGGCAAACAATGATCATGCTAATGGTAGCGCAGTCGAGACTATTGAGAAGTTTGAGCTGGAGGAGCTGGTTTGAGTGTGGGAGTGCGGGCCGTAGGAGCAGCAGCAGCAGCAGGAGGAGGAGGAGGAGGAGGAGGAGGACGGGGAAGCACAGAGGAGGGGGAGTAAATGGCAGCATTGCATAACTTCTCCGAGGGAGCAGAAAGAAAGCCAAAGAAAATTGAAAGCAGGAAAAGAGGGGGTGTGCTGCTTTGTTTCTTTCAGTTGAAGAGGTGAGACTTGGCAGCAGCTTTAAAAAAAAAAAAAAAAACTTTCTTAATTTTTTCTTATTTTAAATTGGAGAAGGATAAAAAGGAGTGACCATAGGCTGCTTTAAAAAAAAGAAAAAGAAAAGAAGAAGTAGATGGCCGCGCGAGAGGTGTAACTACAGGGAGAGACAGGAGGCAATGGGTGGACCTTGTTTTTAGCCATGGAGCAATAAGGCGCAGACACACAGACCCACACACGCCCTCTCTGCCGG